GCTTATGCTGTTGAGATGCTCAGCCTGAAATTTGTTGGTCACTATTATGTAAAACAGAGAGTTGTCCATATGTGTTTTTCCACAGGTCAAGAGGTTGGAGAGTTTCGGCTTTTGATTCTCTCCATAGTTGACAGTCATTTGACTGTTTGAAGATTCTGCCTCTTCTCTCTGTTGGTCTTTTTCTCTCAGTTGTTGAATGAAAGGAACAAGCTCATCATCAGGTACGCGTGGTGTGTTAGCTCCTACTCTGTGATAAGGAACTTTCTCTTCATATTTGACTTTCTTGTCCTTCTCAGAGAATTTTGGGATACCAACAGAGTAAAAATGATCTTTCACAATGCTTGCTTTTGGGACAACATCATATTCAATGACCCACGTTTTCTCAGTTGCTTCCTTGTCAATGACCTCAATGAATCGGGGGTTCCTTATGCAGCTCCTGGCATGGCATTGTTGATTTGAATCTTTAAAGCATCTTTCAATGTAGTCTAGTGCATTCACAAAGTCATCTGTACTGCTGACAGGTACTCCTATAATTTCACCATGCTTATGTTTGCCTTTCACTTTATCCATTATCCCAAAATGGATTGTCCCATTGGTTCGCATATTCATGCATGCACAAGCAAATCTCAACACCTCCATTGCTACTTTTGTTTTTAGTTTTTCAGAGCCTAGACTGTGCACATTCTCCAGTGACTTATATTCATGACATGGAACAATCATGTTTTCAATTCCTGTCTCTGGAGGTAGCACATTGTGCTTGACATATCGGCAGTTTTTTTCATCCTGGTCAAAGCACCGATAGTCACAGAAAGATGAAGTTACTTCTGTAGAAGTTGAGTTGTCTTTGCACTCCATAGGAATATCCTCCATTTTTGCATTGTCACAAGATTTTTGTGAAGGGGGGTTTGATTCCTGTTCTAACCCTACCTTTTCTTTTATATCATCTCTACGTTTACCAGTCATATCCCTTCCTTTTTTCAATTTTCTTGGGTCTGACATTAAAAGCTCATCTCTTTTCTTCAGTAGGTGTTCAATTTGGCCACTTTTCATTCTAATTGTAGTGCTGAGGTATTCCTTCTCTAGACTTGTGAGAACTGGTCCAGTCACCTCCTCCTCCTCCAGTGTTTTTATGTACTTCTCTTTTATTCCAATGCATTTCAACCAGCAGCTCACATCAAGTTCTGTCCATTTGTCAGGGGATAGATCTTGCCACCCTGTAGAACAAAAAGTTTAAATCAAGTGTCATAAGAAAGCAGTTTAATGTATCTTTGACCATTTCACTGCGAAGACCTAATGTAACTGTCATTATACTGCTGCACCACACAGTGATACACTGCTTCAGTAAAAACTGCAGCAAAACAGTTCAGTTTCATGTTTTTTGAGTAGCTTTGTGATCATGTGAATAGTTATAATGTGGAATATTGTTGGGTACTTCGTCTGAGAACAAGGAAGTTTGGACAGCTACATTAAGATGTAAGTTGTTTTGTATTAAAAATTAGATGTTGTGATATTGCCTGGGCTTATAAGGGGTTACTTTACTCAAATTGCTGTATTAAAAGATACATTAAATATAGTGGTATCCAGCAATGCATCTGCTAAAACTGACCCTTCAACCTTTTTGATTTTCTACTTTTTTTTGGCTACTTTCAATTATTCTAAAATTGTGCTCTAAATATAACATAACTGCACAAGGACAACTTCACACTAAATCTTGTATGGAGGAAAAACACTAGAGCTCTGATTGTTATGGGTTCATAGGTTATAGTCTGATGCACTTGTGACTTTGATGTATTAGGGCCCACACCCAACTGTGATGTGTACTGTGTAGCGTTGAACAATAATTGTTAAGTTTAGTAGTGCACAGCTAGATGGCAGTGTATGCAGAATTCTGGGCCTGGGTGTGTGGAGGGACATGGAATATATCTATCTAAGTTGCATGGCTTTCACTCAGTCACTGATGGTAATTGTGGGTGTGGGTGTGCATCTCTGGGAAATAGAAACTAACATTGTTTAACCAACATTATTTGACAGCTCTTAAGGCCTTTGTGCATCAAGTTTTTTCTCATGCATCTTTTTAATCTGTCATCCAATTAAAATCATTACGCACAGAAATCTGGAGTCCAGTGCAGTTCATTATTCTATTTGTTGTGAAATTCATAATACAAGATGGAGTAATCGTGTAATAAGGCTAATTTTGTGGTCCTTTTCACTGAAAAGGAATTAAAGCTACAAGCAAGGTGGAAGCAGGATTCTGTAAATAAACTTGTTCACTCAAATCAGATCAATCGCCACACAAGGCTTACTTCCTGTTTCCAGTAGGTTGTACTATGAGTATGACTGAATATTGGCATGTAGATGTGCTCATCAGACATGTGAAGTTTGACGCAAAGTGGAATACAAGTACAAAGTCAAAAACCATGAAGATCTTTAGACTACACTGACCAAATCTGAATGTGAAAATAAAAACCTGTTGGGTTTTTATTGTACGCACAATTTTGGATGAAAAAAAACGACTTGGTGTGAAAAGGTCTAATGGCACCAAACCATTCTCTCTATTTCTACTACACTATAGTGATATGTAACATTTCATACTCACCCATCTCTGAGGAGCTGCTTTCCATTTTTATGTGTGTTTCTAAGGACAGTAAAAGAGTAGCTTTAATATTGGTTTTATTGTAACAATATGCACACTTGACCAAAGATCACTCTTACCATGTGGATCACCAGGCTAAAGCAGCTGTATCATTGTTGATCATTTTTCAGTCTTTTGGTGTCTCTGTTGGTGACAAAGCAGTGTTGGCACACATTCACCCACGTGTTTAAAATTTCAAAATCTGTTTTGTATGTCTGAGGTCAGTTATGCCAGGTTGTTTATATCGTATTAAGAGTTTAAGTACAGATACCTGGAAGTGTCAGGAGTAAATTTGTCATTTGTCATATTTCAACTAATGCACATGGGCTGACAAGTTATTGTACCAGTAGGAATTGTTACAGGTTATTGCACAGGTTGTTGTTGCCACCTAACAAACAGAAAAATACATTCATTCATATTATCATTAATTTATTTGTTCAGTACACTTGTTCTGCACACAAATGATTAAAATGCCTATTAAAATAACTTATATGCACTAATTAGTGCACATAAGTTAATTCATTTCGGAGCACAAATAACTAATTCACAATCAAGAATTTAAAACAATTTTAACACTAACATTGACCTGGCTGTGTACATTATGACAGACAGTGTTTATTCTGATAGGTCTTTTTGTAATACTTAAACCATAACTTTTTTTTTTTTTCATTTGGGATTAGTGGAAACAAGCTTAGGTGCAAGACAAGAGGCAAGTTCATGTTTGTAAGTTCAATAAGGAGACTTTAGCAGGATAGCTAATGTGGGTTGTTAGCAGACTTTCTAATTTACAAATTCACCCTTTACAAAGCAACATTGTTGTGCAAAACTGTCCGACCCGCAGCCTCTGTGAAGTAATGTGAAGAATTGATAATGAACACCTTGCCAGGCAATATCCCGTACATGGTGTCCCCACAGAGCGTTTCTGCTGCGTGCTGCTGCCCTTCAGTATCTTTCTACATTGAGTTTCCCTTTGATAAACACAAAACAATAAATTTCTTGTTAACAAATTAGATTCTGTCCACAGAAACACAAGGTTGTAGAAAAAAAACAAAATAAATTAATTTTTGCTGTTTTTTTCTGTGCCAATATAACTTTTTCCAAAAGTGTTCCAATGCCACCCCTTTTTCCGGTTCAGGTTTTCATTGTTAAAATGTATATTCACTGTCTGTATAAAATTTTAAATAAATTTCCCCCCAGGGATCAATAAAGAATTTCTGATTCTGATTTTGATTATTGATTCCTGGGGGGAATTTGGTTAGTAGTGTCACCATACACAATGTACAGGTAAAGTCACCTATTACATTGTAACTCACTGACAATTTCCTCATTTGAACTCCACAAAATTTGAAAATCCAAAGAATAGAACATAAATATATTTTTATGTGATTTATTAGATAGATAGATTACTGTATTAATCCCACAACGGGGAAATTAACTGCAGCATCTGAGTGAAATAAATAAATACAGATATAAAAGCTATGGTGAGTGATAACGCTATGGTATGGTGATAATTTGAAAAAACAGAAACTACAACATGATCAGGTGTTGTAGAGTCAGGCAAGGATAAAAAGACAGTGATGGCGATAACACTGGAAAGTTCCCGTGGCAGATAAAATGGCCGAAGTCCGACGACGACAAGCTCGATGTCCGGGCTGCAGACACGTTTGTCCACTGAGACCGATTGCTTGATTGATTTGATGTTTTATCTGCACATGTCTCTGTGACCTGATTTAGTTTCTACATCTACAGCATTTCACTTAGGCTAAATCAAACAAATCCACAAAACACAGGCCTATTAAAAATAAGTTATTTAAGACAGAGTTTATAAATAATTGCACTTACCAATGTTGTAATCTCTTAGATAGACTCTTTCCGACGCCCCATTTCCTTTACTTGTTGATTCAGTTGTTGGTTTGGAGTTTATAGAACAAGAAGCAGGTCAGGCTCCTCTTCCTTGATTTTATTGCCCCTGAGTCAAAAGTGTGTGTAAAGAGTTGAAATTGGCACCAGCTGATGCTTTATGATCACAAATGTTCACATGCCTCATGCCTGACGAGCTGATGAAGGTCTGAGGAATTGTAAAAAGAATCTGAGACTAGGGCGCCCTCATAGCTCCCTTATCTATGTTTCACTAAGGAGTGGCTTTGTTTAGACAGGAAGAGAGCGAGAAGAGCCTGAGTGAGTCAAGGACACACCCACACAATACCATAACACTATCATCACGGAAGAGTGCTCTTCCTTGTTATGTATGTTACAAACCGACAACTGGCAGAAAACAGTTCAACTGAAAAAGAAAACAGCAGCGAAGAGTAAAAAATATTTTATTTTGATATTATATTCTGGTCTTGCACCTTAGCTTGTTTCCACTGATCCCAAATGAAAAAAAGTTACGGAGGTCAAAATAAACCCTGTGATAACCGTCTCAAGTACGCAGCCAGTTTTAGGGGGTTTTAGTAGGACTCTTTGGCCACAATCAGCAAAGCGATGTTTGAAGATTTCTCTGTATTTAATTTAACTAATTTCCTAGTTTTAGACAGTTGTATCACATAGTTCACCACTCATTAGCATTAAAAACAGTTCTTTCTAATAATGCTACAATAACATACAAAATCGATACTGATGTACAGCAAATTTTTTGTTGGAGACATAATACCTACAGCCACCATAGGTTTTCCACTTTGGGGGAAAAAAAACCCCCAAATCCTAGTATTTTTAAAGTGCACCTACACCGTACCCTGCAGTTGTGTGTGGAGCCATTTTTAACCCACTCAATTTTAACACCAACATTGATGTGTGTCATATAATTTTAGCTTGTAGCTCAAAAACACCACTGCCAAGTATGTTAATAGAAGTCAATAAAATAGACTGAGCTGCTGTTATTGTATGTTTCATGTAATCTAATTATTGAAGACACAGAACTTAACTCTGTCAAGTCATACTGATTTTAATGTTGCCATGCCAAGAAAATTAAAATGACAGAATTGAAATGTTCTGTTTATTGTGCAGATTCTCCGCCTACTTGCTGGGGTAAACCATCAAAGGGCCAAGAGTTACAGTGCCACAAGCCACGATATCTGAAACATTAATCCAAAATGTTAATAGGAAAGCATTTTGTTGGGACATTTGTACATAAATAATAGGTTTACATTCGTCATGAAACTCTTTAGGATCTACCACATACTTTCAGGACGTCTCAGATTTGCCTTATTGTTCCATTTAGGACATCTTTTGTAACCGGTGCTCTCACAACAGCGACACACATTATCACTCCCATCCACATTTTTCCATCTGAGGAGAAGAAGTATACATAATTATTAATAAAATCTTCTTTGATATAGTTGGAGCAGAAATACTGTAGCTGTGATATGGCAGGACAGTTCGTGCACTGCAGATTTTCCACACTTACTTTTAAAGCACTGTTAAGAGAAATAATGACTAATTTGGGTATATATCTAAAAACAGAAATCATCTTTCAATTACATTTGTTTTGGCAAAAAAAAAAAAAGATTTACAAAACTTACTAATAATAGATAACTTAATTCTGTAAATGAATAAATATTGCTATTTAAGTAAACATAGATTTGGTTTTCAAGTCTGGTCATTTATCATCTACACTAAAGTTAAAAGGCATTGTATGCTACAAAAGAAAAAAAAAAAAAATCACCTTGAATGTATATAATTGCAGGCCTTGTTGTTGGGGCTGCTCGCCCACATTTCAGATGTAGCTTTCAACTGGCAAGTGATGAATATCTAAATAAATAAAATAAATAAGAGGAGACCATAGAGATGTCATTACACGACCTTGTAGCACTTCCAAACATTCTTGAATCATGCAGGTTATAAGGGGGCTTACAGAGTTCCTCGAATCCTGGTGAAACAGGAAAGCATTAAGCTGCAGCTGAAGCGAGTGAGCCTTCGTTCTGGGTTGGAACAGTGAGTCTGAGCCTCCCTCTTTTGCATCAGTGAGGCACCTGACAAAAATCACACGTCAAAAGGCCTGTGGTTCAGTGAGTGTTGTCTTGATAATGATATTGAGCTACTCTTACCCATAGTTTTCAATGAAGTAGTATCTGGGGACTGATGTTCTGTCAGGTGACAGAGTGGCAACGCAGCTGTCGATGAAGAGTCGTCTTTGCCCTGAACCAGGACCGGTGTAGGAGGCCTCGAGGTGCAGGAGGTCTCCGAGGTAGAAAGCACTGGAGGGCGCCTCGCTCGTCCAGTCATCTACACGTAGACACAAACATCACCACTTGCACACCATTGACAGTATAGGTGCACACTTATCAAGGACACATACCGGTCATCAGCTGCAGTGAGAAAGTAGAGCTCCCTGTTGAATGCTTTGCAGAAGCAGAGAGCGTCAGGGGCGGCTGCTGAGCATTGCTGCTCACAAAGTGTGTCCTGTCCCAGGAAGTAAACACGTCAGCCATTATGGAGGAGTCTAAAACAGCAAAGAAATGTCACAACAAAATGAGTAAAATCTCACCTTTTATAGTGACAGGAAACAGGAACCACAGCATGGGTCGTCCTTATAATGCCATGGTAGCTGGCAGCTGGTGAGACTATCAGCTTGTTTGAGTAGATCACAGAATCCTCAGATATCTAGAGATTAATATAAAAACATTCATATCTGAGCGAGTCAAAACACCCAGAGATAAACCCATAAAGCATCAACAACTTACTGTTAATTTGGAGCCACAGTCTTGCAGTCCAGCTTCAATGACATATTCAGTGTCACCAGCAGCCACAGCTCTGCACTGACTGCTCTGTGAATGCTCAGCTTCTCCCAAAAAAAGCTCTCCAGGAGACACAAGACGTCCGTTTTTATACAGGTCAGGCTTTACCACAATGATCATGGACGTTTCTGTGCACTGTACATGCACAGTGGATCCGTCATTGAGCTGTGGCCCCCTGATGTTTTTTCCATCAGTTCTTAATGGTGCAGATTTATATTCCCTTCCTTCGGCATCAATCATGGGTCCATCTTTTAGAGTCCGAATAGCATCTGCAACACCAAAAGCAAATGAAACCAGCAGTGCCAGAGAGGCTGAGTGACCTACGATCATTGTGCTCTTCTCTCATAACAACAGGAAACACAACTCCTGCTCAGCCCAATCTGTAAGATTAAGGATGATTCAAGAAATCCAAATAAGAGGCAGAGGATGCAAACACTGGAGATAATCCTCCCAGTATCTCAAACACATCCCAGTTCAGACCAATTAAATCACATGGAGAGCACAGCTGCAAGCAGTTACCCATTAACTGATCAGTAAAAGCTGCACTCTCACTGAGATACATGCATATGATTGGCCCACAGTCAACATTACATGGATCCATATCAAGCATTTACACTGATGCTCCTTCCTTATGTATCAATATTGAAAAAAAGAAACCCTCACTCAATACTATTACTAAACAACGTTCAAGTGTGATGGAAAAAGTACGACCTGAAGCTGTTGTTACATTTGCTAAACAAAACTGAAGAAAAGCAGTACAGTACAATAACAGAAGATGGTACAACAACATTTTTAAAAGGCCCTTTTGCAGCTTAAACACTCGCTTACGGCCATACCACCCTGAACACGCCCGATCTCGTCCGATCTCGGAAGCTAAGCAGGGTCGGGCCTGGTTAGTACTTGGATGGGAGACCGCCTGGGAATACCAGGTGCTGTAAGCTTTTACACTTCTCTTTACAAACAGCAGAGGATGCTGCTGCTGCTGCTTCACTCATTCACATAGTTTCATTTTCAACACAGTGTTGTTGTAAAATATGTAACCTTTAAGTTTAGGTGGAAGTTATTTGATTCTACTATTGTTGTTGTTATTATTGTTGTTGTCATCAGTTGTCCACTGCAGGATAATGTCTGATCTTCATGTTTGAGGACATGGTGAATGTGTGTCCTGTAATCCCTGCTGATGAATTGATTTAGTGGAACCTGATTGTCGCTGTCGGTATGCTGGCTGCCGTAAAACAACGTTAACGTTCAAGTTGTCACATTTACTGAACAAAACTAGAGATGGGATTTACGGCTCTTTGAAAGGAGCCGTTCCTTTCTGTATGTGAAGAAGTCTCAATATAAACCAGCTGATCCTCTGGCAGGTGAAGTTATTTATAATAAATACTGTCTTATTTAGATGGTGCTGTTATTATCTTTCAGTGGACAAGTGATAACAAACAACAACAACAATAGCAGAATTAAATAACTTCCATCTAAACTTAAAGGTTACATATTTTACAACAACATTGTGTTGAAAATGAAACTATGTGAATGAGTGAAGCAGCAGCAGCAGCAGCAGCAGCATCCTCTGCTGTTTGTAAAGAGAAGTGTAAAAGCTTACAGCACCTGGTATTCCCAGGCGGTCTCCCATCCAAGTACTAACCAGGCCCGACCCTGCTTAGCTTCCGAGATCGGACGAGATCGGGCGTGTTCAGGGTGGTATGGCCGTAAGCGAGTGTTTAAGCTGCAAAAGGACCTTTTAAACATGTTGTGGTACCATCTTCTGTTATTGTACTGTACTGCTTCTCTTCAGATTTGGCTCTTTAACATGAACGATGGGACTTTTTTTTTATCTCTGTGTTTGTGGAAGATTTTGCACTAAGATCTATGAGCTCTTTAAGATATGAAGGAGCCGGACCATGAAGAGCTTTGTAGGTGAGGAGGATTTTCAATTCTATTCTGAATTTTACAGGGAGCCAGTGCAGAGAAGCTAATACAGGAGAGATGTGATCTCTTTTCCTAGTTCCTGTCAGTACTCGTGCTGCAGCGTTCTGAATTAATTGGAGCGTCTTAATGGACTTATTGGGGCAACCTGATAATAAGGAGTTGCAGTAATCCAGCCTAGAAGTGACTTATGTGTCACTATCTACACTATCATCAGCAGTTGAAGCAGCCATAAATACATAAAAGACTTCAAATGTATCGGACACACTGCGTCCCAAAACATGCCTAAAAAAACGAACATGTCCATCATTTAGTTGGAATATTTACTTTGCTCAGTGGAAAACCTTTAGCGTTTGACTTTTGCACCCGACATGGCCACAACCCTGTCTGGTCCTGACACTGATTTTCTGGTCTAGATTTGAAGATTTAGTTGAGTTTAATCTGTATGAGGGTTAGAGTCTGACCAATATGATCCCTCAGGTCATACATATACACATAATTATCAATAACCAACTAAATGACTATCTACAGCAGCCTACACTGAGTGTCTCTAAAACCTTTCCTGTAATAATTATTAGTCATTCTGACACATTTTCCATATGTAGGACTGTAAACACTCAGACTCTCTCAAGGTGCTTCCTGTCTGATTTGTATTTAACTTTTTATCCCAACACTGTGTCTTGTAATACCTCTAAACCTGAAATGTTGTGGGTTTCTTTTCGCCATGTACCAACACTGTCTTCAAAACAAAATGAACAAAAACTTTCATATAACAAAATGAAACTATGTGAATGAGTGAAGCAGCAGCAGCAGCAGCAGCAGCAGCATCCTCTGCTGTTTGTAAAGAGAAGTGTAAAAGCTTACAGCACCTGGTATTCCCAGGCGGTCTCCCATCCAAGTACTAAGCAGGCCCGACCCTGCTTAGCTTCCGAGATCGGACGAGATCGGGCGTGTTCAGGGTGGTATGGCCGTAAGCCAGTGGTGAAGCTGCAAAAGGACCTTTTAAACATGTTGTTGTAGCATCTTCTGTTATTGTACTGTACTGCTTCTCTTCTCTTGTTCAGCAGATGTGTATTCATATTTTTACTGCAGATGATAAATGTCCACACCTGAAAACCAAATATATGTTTACTTAAATATAGTCATAATATTTATTACAGAATTAAGGGATATTAACTATTCTTTTATTTATTATTAGTACGTTTTCTAAATGTTTGAAGGTTTCTTCTTTTGACAAAATTAGCTAAATTTAAGGAGGAGATTCCATCAGTACTTTATTCAATGCCATGTCTGAATATAACAGAGTCCTATAATAACTTTAGTCCCTCCCAAATTGATCCTCTCATTAATAGTGCTGCAGGCTCACTATGAACAACACTAGATTCTATCGCCCCTATAAAAAGGAAAATATTAAAACATAGGAGGCTAGCACCGTGGTACAACCACCAAACCCGTCAATTAAAGCAAAAAGCGCAGAAATCTGAAAGGAAATGACGCTCTTCCAAATGATTAGAATATGTGAATTTGGCAAAATAGTCTTAAAACCTAAAGAAAGGCCCTCCGTAATGCCAGAGGAGCCTATTATTCAGCACTAATGGAAGAAAATAAGAACAACCCCAGGTTCCTCTTCAGCACTGTAGCCAGGCTGACAGAGAGTCACAGCTCTATTGAGCCACGTATCCCCATAACCCTCAGTAGTAACGACTTTATGAGCTTCTTTTCTGATCAAATTATTACTATTTCAGACAAAATGAATCACCAAATGCCAAAAAGAGAAGATGGTACAACAACATGTTTAAAAGGTCCTTTTGCAGGTTGAAGACTCGCTTACGGCCATACCACCCTGAACACGCCCGATCTCGTCCGATCTCGGAAGCTAAGCACGGTCGGGCCTGGTTAGTACTTGGATGGGAGACCGCCTGGGAATACCAGGTGCTGTAAGCTTTTACACGTCTCTTTATAGATAGCAGAATTATCAAAAGACAGAACATTTGATTCATGTCATTTCAATTTTGAGGCTGTACTTAATCATTTCATTAATAGACTCAATTGGCTTCTGTCAGACAGGATCCCCCCAAGGCTGCGTTCTTTCTCCTCTGCTCTTCTCCCTGTACACAAACAGCTGCACCTCCAGTCACCAGTCCGTCAGGCTTCTGAAGTTGGAGGATGACACCTCCCTCATTGGGCTCATCTCTGGACACAAACTCTTTGAAACTCTTCCCTCTGGTAGGAGGCTGCGGTCCATCAGGACCAAAACCTCACGCCACAAGAACAGTTTCTTTCCGTCTGCAGCTGGCCTCATGAACAAGGCCCAGATCCCCCCACTGACACTGACTCTTAAACCCACCCTGTATATATGCATTACCTTAATGCACTCCTGTTGGTTTTTCTATCCTGCACATTGTAAATATCTTTCCTGTACAGTTTAGACCTTTCTATCTTTATCTTTATTCATTTATATTTTTAAAAGTACTTTATTTTTTCTGCGATTTTTATGCACCAACGCAACAAGACAAATTCCTTGTACGTGTAAAAACGTACTTGGCAATTAACCCGATTCTGATTCTGTATAATGGGTGATATTCATGCCTTTTCAGGATTTATTTTCCTCTACTGTAATATATGCACGTTAACCAAGCGGAAACTCTCAAACAACAACAACAACAACAACAACAACAACAACAAGAATAACAATAGTAGAATCAAGAAACTTCCATCTAAACTTAAAGGTTACATATTTTACAACAACATTGTGTTGAAAATGAAACTATGTGAATGAGTGAAGCAGCAGCAGCAGCAGCAGCAGCAGCATCCTCTGCTGTTTGTAAAGAGAAGTGTAAAAGCTTACAGCACCTGGTATTCCCAGGCGGTCTCCCATCCAAGTACTAACCAGGCCCGACCCTGCTTAGCTTCCGAGATCGGACGAGATCGGGCGTGTTCAGGGTGGTATGGCCGTAAGCGAGTGTTTAAGCTGCAAAAGGACCTTTTAAACATGTTGTGGTACCATCTTCTGGTATTGTACTGTACTGCTTCTCTTCAGATTTGGCTCTTTAACATGAACGATGGGACTTTTTTTTTTATCTCTGTGTTTGTGGAAGATTTTGCACTAAGATCTATGAGCTCTTTAAGATATGAAGGAGCCGGACCATGAAGAGCTTTGTAGGTGAGGAGGATTTTCAATTCTATTCTGAATTTTACAGGGAGCCAGTGCAGAGAAGCTAATACAGGAGAGATGTGATCTCTTTTCCTAGTTCCTGTCAGTACTCGTGCTGCAGCGTTCTGAATTAATTGGAGCGTCTTAATGGACTTATTGGGGCAACCTGATAATAAGGAGTTGCAGTAATCCAGCCTAGAAGTGACTTATGTGTCACTATCTACACTATCATCAGCAGTTGAAGCAGCCATAAATACATAAAAGACTTCAAATGTATCAGACACACTGCGTCCCAAAACATGCCTAAAAAAATGAACATGTCCATTATTTAGTTGGAATATTTACTTTGCTCAGT